GGTCTTATTATTTTTGAGGTGCAGGGGGCGGCGAGCGTGGTCACTTCATGGCTGCTGCCTTATTTTCGGGGAGGTCTTATTATTTTTGAGGTGCAGGGGGCGGCGAGCGTGGTCACTTCATGGCTGCTGCATATTTTCGGGGAGGGCTTATTATTTTTGAGGTGCAGGGGGCGGCGAGCGTGGTCACTTCATGGCTGCTGCATATTTTCGGGGAGGGCTTATTTTGCGGGGGAGGGCTTATTTGAGTGCATGTGCTCAAAAGCTCGATTGGGTTTATTATCCGGGGAGGTCTTATTTTCGGGGAAACAGGGTAGGTCTCCAAAGTTGAGGACTTTAAGACCTGCGGACTTCAATTCCCAGAATTCTCTTTTGCTCCCACTTTGCTGAAGACAAGGTATATTACATCGGGTCCCGCATTCCCACCGTCTATCAAAAAACAAAAGAGAAAAAAAGTGATAAAGGTAACCTAACCCCATTTTTTCTTATCCTATCCACCCTGAATTCTTGCCGGAGTTGACGTCCACGGGTCTTAAAAGGGGCCGTGTTCAGTTGTAGGGGAGGAGAAAACGGGAGGGAAGGAAGAAAGGTGGACAAAGAAGAAAGCGGCCTGTTTTGAGGATAATGAAGCCCATGTGGCACATACCCCCCACCCAAGGGACCACGCAGGGTCGGGGTACTCACGGAGCTGTAGAGGTAGCCCTCGGCGTTCATGGCGACATACTGTCCCGATGTGGTACTCTGTATGGCCACTACTCGGAGCCCTACGGGAATCAGGTTGAAGAAGGCTGTGGGACAAGGAGAGAAGGAGAGGAGGGGGCTTCAGAAATGATACAGACAATAAAGTACCCCAGTGGCGAAATTCGAACCCATAACCGGGTGCGAGATAATTTAATTTGATCCGGATGACCATTCCCCCCTCTCATCAAGTGGCTCAGGGCTGGTTGGGGGCGCGGGGGGGGAGGACAAAATTTTCAAGGTAAGAATTCAAATACGGGCGGTCCTTGACTTACGAGCCCAATCTTTGCGTCGCTAAGTGAGACATAGGGTTTGTTTTGCCTAGATTTTTTCCAGACGTGCTTGCCAAGGGAACCGCTGCATGTTGTTCAGGGAGTCTCCTGGTCGTTAAGCGAACCAGGACTTCCCCGTGGGAAGGGCTCGGTGGAAAGTCGTTAAAAAGGAAATCACATGAGCCCCCCTCTGCCCCGGAACGCCGCGACCGTCGTCAATGCGAGTCGGGTGCCAAGCGTCCGAATTTTGAACCTGTGATCCGGATGCTGCTGNAAAAAAAAATGTTTTGGGGGAAAATTTAATCTTAAATGTCTCTTCCTAACAGGCGAAAGGATTGGAAGATGGGATTTCTTTTTTATTTTTATTTTTTACAACGGGATTAAGGGCGAAACCATGTTCCTACGCGGCTAATCCCTCTGCAAATTCCTCCATTTCGCCCGTCTTAAAACAAGATTTTCCCGTAGCGGCCTCGGGATTTAGGCCAAGCGGGTGGGGCTGCCATCGCAGGCAAAGGCCACCAGGTGGCGATGCTCACCTCCGCCTAACCCAGTCTCCCTCCCAAGAAATTCACCCCGATAATCCAGCTGGATTTATTTTATATTTTATTATTTCGTGGTGTTTTTTTTTTGGCCTTCCCAGAACGGAGGGATGGAAAGGAGCCAAAGAGCCATAACATTAATCAGAGCAAAATGTCCCAGCACGAAAACATCCTCTTTTTTTCCCTCCCCCCACTTCTCTGCTGCTTGGGGGGGAGTGTGTGAATGCAGGAACATTGCCCCCACCCCCGGAACAAATTTCTCTCCAGCTCTCATTAAACGATCCTGGATACCTGTGTTGGAAGAACAGAATGAAAAACCCGGAGGGCGATAGGAAAGGACAAGAAAAGGAGGAGTCCTCGCTTTACGGCGGAAAATTGAGTCGAGAATTTCCACTTGACCTGCGGCGGTGGGTTGGACTAGAAGACCTCTGGGGTACCTTCCAGCCCTATGATTCTACATGCAGGTAGTCCTCAGTTTATGAGTACCATGGATCCCCCAAAACCTCCAGCGCTAAGCGAGACAACGGCTAAGGGAGCCTTTGCCCTATTTTACGACCTTTCTGGCCACCGTTGGGAAGCGAATCGCTGCGATTCTCCGGGGAGTAACTCCGCCATTAAGTGAAACTGGCTTCCCACTTGCCAGATAAATCGGCAAAGAGGAATCGTGCAACCCGCGGGGAGACACTGCGACCGCCATAAATATGAACGTCTGAATTTTAATCAATGACTAGGCTGAAAACGGTCGTAAGTGTGAAACATGGTCTGGAAACAGAGGGTCTTGGAGTCTCGTTATTGCGGGTGGGGGGGGGCGCTAGAAATGAAGGGTCTTTGGAGCTAGGGAGGGGTACCACAAAAAGGGATAAACGCTGTGTGGGTGAGACCCACTTCCCATGCCCAAATCTTCTTTCAAATCAAAGTCCAGAGCAGCGTTGGTCAAGCTGTGCCAGCTGGGGAATTCTGGGAGTTGAAGTCCACCCATCTTCGAGTGGCCCAAATTGACCAACATTGCTCTACAGGGACATGGTATGTGTGAATGACCTTGAGAGACGAAAGCAAGAGTCACAGACTAGGAAAAAGCAGTTAGATAAACGGTGGTTGAGCCCAGACAAAGAATAAGGAAAGGAGAAGAACAGCTTAAAAGAAACTCTCCCAAGTGTCCTAGGATGTATTGTTGAGGGGAGGGGGGCAGGAAGAGGTAATTTCCGACTTTCTGTTACTGGAATCTTACGATAAAGTAGAATTAATTCAACCGGGCCTGCTTTTAGATCCGGCGCACCTCCCCATGCTGACACGGGGGCCCCAAATCACCCCACACGTGAACTGATTTGGAGGAGAAACGAGGTGGAGGAAGGGGAGGAAACCCACATATCACCAGAAGCTTGGCTAAGGGAGGGAGAGAGAATGGCAGGGACAGGTTGTGGGGAGGTGGGAACAGAAGGGACGGGAG